TTTGAAGTGGAGACTTATTATTCCCATCATACAGTTGAGGAAACTGAGGCACAGAGAGTTAGGTTACTTGCCAAATCTTACACAATTTTTAAATGATGGAGCTGGGCTCACATCCAACCAAGCTGACCCAAAGCCCACACTCTTAACCCTGAGGCTCTAAGTCTCTGCTCCCCATCTTTGCAGGCTAGCCTGAAGAAATCACACCAGAAGGCAACACAAAGAAACATCCACAGCACGTGCTCAAATAACTGCTGAGCACCATCTATGCACCAAGCATGTTGTCAGGTGTTTGTGGATTCAAAGATGTGTAAGAACTGTGATTCACACCATGGAACACTAGATTGTATATCTTGCAAAGAGTGTGGCATGAACCTGATTCCTCATAAAACATGGAAGGAGTGTTTAGAATGCCAATAGAAAGTACTATGACCATTCAGAGAGAGAAATCAGATATGGTTTGGTTGGACAGGGCAGCTGGTCAACTAAGCCTTGAAAGAAATGGCAAATTTTAGTAGGTGGAGATGGGGACAAAGATGAGAGTGTTTCTGGCAGAGGAAAAGACTTGCACCACCACGGAATGAAGATGAGACAGGGTGAGGCATTTCTCTGACAGTGAGGAGGAAACTAGCTTCCTGCAGCTCCAGGCATCTGTGGGGACCTGTGGGGGGATAGTCATTGAAGCCTTGTGAGTTGGGGGTGCAGGCTCAGTGTCCAAACCCCAGCTCAGCCCCTTGTCTGCAAGCTTCATCAGCTGTGGCCACAGGGTTGAGATGCAGTAAAGGGTCATCTCCACTACTGCAGGGCTTGGTAGGGGGCAAGGCTTAAGAAGCGTGGCTGTCCTTGGCAGGGGGTGGGCAGACACTGAGGAATTCTGAGGACAGGGTAGACTGATCAAAGTGGTGTCAGGATTAGAGAGAAAAGGAGCAAGGAAAAGAGATGGTGGCCCAATGGTCTCAGCATAAATTAATCAGGCGTCAAATTATGGCAGGGGCAGACCTAGGAGAAGAACAAGACAGGACAACTCAAGACATCTGAGGATGGGGGTAAATATTGATACAGTGCAAGAATGGGCTAGGGGTCCCTTCCTCAGATCCCCAATTCCCTTTGACACAGGTGTCATCGCATGGGTGAGTTCACCAAAGGTAAGAACCATGAGGACTGGCCACCCCAGTGTGGAATGAGGGATCTCATAAAGGCTTTGAGAAAAGGCAGGCAGAAGGGCAGGAGACAGTGTCTGGGAAGTCAAGAGGAAGAATCTTGAAAGTGGAGAGGAGGCAAGAGTGCCAATGGTGCCAGGAAAGGTAAAGACCGAAGAGCAGTTGCTGGCATCAGTTCTGAGGAAGAGATGGGTGTTCTTCAAGGATGCATCCACAAAGAAGGAGGAGGGCCAGGTCCAGGACTAGAAGGGGATGTGCCATCCACAAGGACAGTGCAGGAGGTGCAGATAGTAAGGCGGGGTGAGGGACAAGAATGGAGGTCTGGAAGGCATTTTAAAACTTGCAAGAACAACTTGTAAGTAAGGTCTAGGACATACTGTCGGGAAGGATCAGTCCCTAGAGAAGGACATCATGCCTGGCAAAGTAGAGGGCCAGTGAAAAAGAGGAAGAACCTCAGTGAGATGGATTGACAGTGGCTGAAACAATGGGCTCAAGCATAACGATTGTGAGCATAGTGCAGGACCAGGCAGTGCTTCGTTCTGCAGTGTGCAGGGTAGCTATGAGTTGTAACCGACTCGACGGCACCTAACAAGAAGAAGAAGAAGAAGTAAGTGCTGGAGAGGGAGAGCACAGCAGCAGAGGAAGGTTCTAAAGGACAAAGGAGGTGAGTGATGAGGGTCAGCGATAAAGCCCTGAGGGACAAGACAAATGGGTAACCCAGCGTCTGCCTGCACTCTCACGGGACAATGCTCTGCTTCCATTTGGCTGTTGCTCTGTTCTTCTTTCTAATGTGGAAACATCAGCACGTAAGTGGTTCTATCCCGGTTTCAAAGAGTCACTGGGGTCTTACACATACTCTGTTAGTGGGGTTATTCTTGGACTTCCCATCTTTTTTTTTTCTTTCGAGAATCAGGAATGGCTTAAGGCTTGCATCATTCCCCAGCCAAAGACAGTGGTGGTGAATCAGCTAGAACCCATCCCAGAAGCTAGCCAAGCCTGGTGTGGGAAAAGACTTAATCCTTGAATGTCACTCACTCCTTTGTAGGGCAGGCTCCATGGGTGAGGGCCCTCTGCTCAGAAGGCCCTACTATAGTGCTTTGCTCTCACAGTCTTGAAATTCTTAATACTTTTTGAACAAGGGCCCTGCATTTTCATTTACACTGGGCCCCACACATCGTGTCCCCTTTCTTATCTCATCCACCCAGGGAATTTCCCCCACTGTCTGAGGTATTTCAGCAGTGTACCAAGGGGTCTCAGTCCATATCTGAAGCACCAACCTCCAAAGCTAGCTGCACCGGCCAGTACTGCTCCAGCCTCGGCTTCATACAGGAGCCATGCCCCTGACTCAGGCCAGAGCAGGCCAGTCAAGCAGCCAGCTGAGGTTAGCAAGCCCTGCCCTGCTCCCACTTGGGGACAGCCCCACCCTTCAATCCAGTAGTCTTTCCTTCCTGTTCCCAGAAAGTCGAGGGCAAAGGAGGTGGCCGTCACGCCTATTCTAGGGAGCATCAGCCCTCAGTATCCAAGCACCCCTTCCCAATTCCATGCCCTGGAGCTGCGGCGATGCTGGGGATACTCTGGAGGCTCGGCAAGTTCCGGGACCTTAGAGACTGTACGCTGGGACCGCAAGCCTTCCCCTTTCACTTTCAGAGTGTCTACGCCCACCCCCTCGAGGACCTTGGGTCAGTGCAATCCTGCCGACGGGTGCTTGTCTTTGGAACTTGAGGACGCCATACTCTCCTTTTCTCTTAAAATCGGGGTTCTGCTGGACGGGGTGTGGGGCGGGCAAGCCATCTACGCCGCAATAGAGTTCCCGCGGAGATTCCCCGGAGTTGCATTTCCTATACCCAAGACTGCCCTCCAAGTTCTGACAGTATTAACCCTTTTCAGCCCAAAAAGTTTGCGGATCTGTTTTGGTTTTGTTTAGAGTTCAACAGCGCCGCCTCCTGGTTCTTCCTTGTGGGTGACCACTGCCAAGAGGGCATGTTGTTGAAACCCGTAGTCTTAGAGTCCATTCCCACAGCGACCCTATAGGACAGAGTAGAGCTGCCCCATTGGGTTTCCAAGGCTGTAATCTTTACAGAGAACCCCTGGTGGCAGCAGTGGTTAAGCGCTTTGCTGCTAACCAAGTCTGCCGTTTGAACCTACCCGCAATTCCCCGGGAGAAAAGGCTTGCGGATCCGCTCCCCTAAAGATTATAGCCTAGGAAACCCTATGTGGCAGTTCTACTCTATCCTATAGGGTCACTTTGAGTCGGAATCTCTCGGAATCACACAACAAAGATCTTTAAGGAAGCAGACCGCCAGGTCTTTCTCCCGTAGAGCCGCTGGGTGGGTTCCAACAGTAAGTCTTTCAGTTAGCAGCCCAGCGCTTAACCATTACCGCCTTCAGGGCTCCTTCGAGAGGGCATAGAGTGTAAAAAAACGTTTGCCATCATCCCTAATGTTTTGGACCCACCCTCCGCATTCTTGGTAAGTGAAAAAGCGGATAAAGCCCAAAGTGGCATATTCTCATCTCCTATTGCTCCCCACCCTACTGGTTCATACGGACTGACCCTCTCCAAAGCCCTTTGCCTCGCAAGTGGCAGTTACGTGCACTGCTGTATAAATCTGTTGATCTATCGACAGCTCTCTAACAGGCCCGCCTATGGTCCGCTTCGATCCCGCAGCGCCCCCCACGCAGGGGCTCCCCGCGGATGCCGCTGGGGTGCGAGATGACCTGCGCCTCCGTGAAGCTGGGCGCAACAGACCAGGCCAACCAAGGCGCTCGGCACACGAAGCCCCACGCCGGGCTCCATAGGAGTCCCCCACCCCCACTGCACCCCCGCTTCTGAGAGGGTGACGGGACCTGGGAGCCCCGACAGTGCCCCGAGACTTTCCCACCCGACAAGATGGTGGCTGGCTTGGCAGCGCGCGCGCGGGAACCCGCAGATTCCCCCGCCGTGCGGGGACGCTGGTGTTAGACCAGTCCTCCCGCCTTGGTCCGTTGTCGCCCCCGCCACGCGGGGAGAATCCTTCTGTCCTCTGGGGCCAGTCAAGTTCTCTCTTGTCTTCTGGCCCAGGGCAGGGATCAGCGCTCTCTCTCCTTCCGATTGCGTCTTCGGAATAGTCCATGACCTAGGCACCCGCTCCCAAAGTTCTCCTCGTCCCAGGCGCTCCCTCCCAAAGCCCTGCAGGTCCTGGGCTCTACCCTACCCCCCACCCCCCATTCAAGACTTCCTCTTTCCAGGGTCCTCCTCCTGCAAGCCAAGCCTCCCTAGAAATCGGTGGTGACATCACGTTCATGAAGAAAAGAGGACCAAGAGATTTAGTGGGGGGAGCTCTTTTGGGGCTGCGCGCGCGGGTCCCAAAGCCGCGGGGCAGAGGCAGTAGCCTTGCTTGCTGACGTGCGCCCCGCCCCCTCCCCCTGCGGCGCCTGCGCAGGTGACCGGGTCAGGGGGCTGCCAGCCGGGTCGGGTTTACTCATCCCGGCAAGGTACTCCTAGGCACAAGGGCGGGCGCCTGGCGCTGGAGAACCCAGTAATCCGAGAATGCAGCCTCGGCCCTTCCCACTGGCGCTTCCTTCCTTTTCCCGAACGTCCCGGGAGGGAGGGCCGCGCGCTTATAAACGCTGACCAGCCAGCGGCATGTCAGAAGCTGCCTGGCCGGGCTGCGCTCGGCGGCCGGACGCGCCTGGGCGGAGCGGACCGAGCGGCGGATCCCGCGGCCCCCT